TTTTTCCTCAAACTTATCACATCGATTGGAGGAGCCTCCGATGTACATGGCAAACCCCCGAATCTTTTCAAAAGCACCTTTGGTGGTGGGTTCTTTCATGATGGCCTCAACAACGAGGTTGATCATGTGCGCAAAACAAAACATATGCCTTTGAAAAATTGGTCTCTTCATCAAGGAGACGAAGGAAAGATCCGTTGTTGCTTGCATTATCAAGAGTGACAGCCATCACTTTGTCGCCAAGGCCCCAACGAACATGGACGGAGTGGACAAAAGCGTTTTTAATCGCTTCACCCCTGTGAGATCCTTCCATGTGAATGAAATCAAGCAAATTCCGTTGTGACTTGAATTTTTCATTGAGCCAATGAACGGTTATTTCCATGAAAGCGTCCATGTCGGGGGCCGTCCATATGTCACACGTGAAAGAGATTTTCCATTGCAACCCTTGCAATTTCTTCTTGATGTCTCCATAAAAACATCGTACGCAAGGTGCAAATCGTTGGCAATCGTGATACGGGAGGGCATGTTCACCTCGGGTTGAAGCCACTTCACCCAATCTTTCAACCCAGGACATGTTTCCTTTCGCAACAATGCGAACAAGGCGCTTCCTATTCTCGGCATCGGAGTATTGCGTGAGTTTTAGCATGGCCCTTGCAATGTCCCCCTTTCCCCCGCGACCTCCATTTTTTTTTTAATCCAAACCCGCTTGCACATACTCCTTCGAATGGCAATTATTAATCTGTTTGGTCATTGCACTTGTGCTCCCTCCTTTCCTCGAAATCACTTGCTTTACTTTTTTTATTTCACAAAGAAGACATTTTGCACTTTTGGGCTTATCAATTTTTTCATAAAACATCCACACCGCCAATGTCAATGCCTTGTTTATCTTCACAAGTGCTTCCTCATCCACAGTGTCGTCATCAAGCCCGCGCTTAAGAGATTTATCAGTATTTTCTGTCAAACATATATGCTATAGTCTGTGTAGGCTGTAGTGGGGTAGATAATATGGGGTACAACACTTTTAGGTTTTCCTACTTGTGCCCACCTGTTTCCTAGTGCATTCATTCCTCGTTCTTTCACATGGTATAGAGCAGGTTCCCTAGAGGAAACGTTTCCTAGGGCCCACCGAAAATCGATTTTTTTTTCCTGCCCGGAGTGCGCTTCGCCCTTGCCCGAGTCGCGCCCCGTGTGCCTGCCCTCCTGTCGCGTCCCCTGCCCTTAGCGGCCCGTCGCGCCCTCGTGAAGCGGCCGCCGGGTTCTCCGCCTGTCTTCAAGGCGCGTTACGTGGCTCGAGGCTTCAGTCAGTGGCAGGGAGTTGACTACTTTCAGACCTTCTCTCCCACCCCGAAGATGACCACTCTTCGGGTGCTGCTGCACATAGCCGCTCAGCGCGACTACGAGCTTCACTCCCTTGACTTCAGCACTGCTTTCCTACAGGGCAGCCTGCACGAGGAGATCTGGCTGCGCCGCCCACCTGGCTTCATTGGGTCGTTTCCTCCTGGTACCCAGTGGAGCCTCCTGCGGCCAGTCTACGGTCTCCGCCAGGCGCCCCGTGAGTGTCACGACATACTGAGGACTACACTTGCGGCTCTTGGGTTTGCTCCTTCTACTGCCGACCCGTCGCTGTTTCTACGCACTGACACCTCTTTGTCGCCGTTCTACATCCTCGTGTACGTCGACGACTTGGTCTTTGCTACTGCTGACACTGCTGGACTCGCCCACGTGAAGTCCGAGCTGCAGAAGAGACACACGTGCACAGACCTGGGTGAACTGCGCAGCTACCTTGGCTTGCAGATCATCCGGGACAGAGCACAGCGCACCATTACCCTGACTCAGTCACACATGGTGCAGCAGGTCCTTCAGCGCTTCGACTTCACGTACTCCTCGCCTCAGGCCACTCCTCTGTCTACTCGCCACTCGCTCTCAGCTCTGCCTTCGGATGAGTCCGTAGAGCCGAGTGGCCCGTACCCAGAGCTTGTTGGCTACCTCATGTACCTGATGACCTGCACTCGACCTGACCTTGCATACCCTCTTAGAATCTTGGCACGCTATGTTGCTCCTGGGAGACTCCGACCAGAGCACATGGCTGCAGCAAAGAGGGTGTTGCGCTACTTGTGCAGAACGTCGGGCATGGGGCTAGTGCTTGGAGGGCGGCGTTCAGTGGTCCTCACTGGGCACGCAGACGCTTCTTGGGCTGACGACCAGGCTACGCAGCGGTCGTCACAGGGTTACACCTTCGGCCTTGGTTCCGGCTCTGTTTCGTGGCGGTCTACCCGCTCGTCTTCTGTTCTCGGCTCCAGCTGTGAGGCTGGGATCTACGCAGGGGCCATGGCTGCACAGGAGCTACGCTGGCTCACCTACCTGCTGACTGACCTAGGAGAGCCGCCTCGTTCTCCTCCAGTTCTGTACGTAGACAACAAGGCCATGCTGGCCTTGTGTCGGGAGCACAGACTGGAGCACAGAACGAAGCACATTGCTCTTCGCTACTTCCTTGCTCGTGAGCTGCAGCAGCGTGGTCAGCTGCGCCTTGCCTACGTGGCCTCTCAGGCCAACACTACTGATATCTTTACCAAGGCACTTCAGCCTTGTGATCATCAGCGCTTTTGTACGATGCTAGGTCTTGTGCCTACTTGGCCTCACTTGCTCACTTCTTCACCTTGCTTGTACTGTGATCTATCTATACCTGCACTTGCTTGTTTACCTTTATATATAATCTTGCATGTGAACTGGCCTTGTGGCCTTGAACTTGTGCTCGGAATGTGTGGTGACGTTGTGATCCACCCTGAGCTTGCTGTGCTTTGCTTGACTGGTCTTGTGACCTCTTGTTCTCCCCCACTTTGCATATGGGGGTGTGTGAAACATATATGCTATAGTCTGTGTAGGCTGTAGTGGGGTAGATAATATGGGGTACAACAGTTTTAGGTTTTCCTACTTGTACCCACCTATTTCCTAGTGCATTCATTCCTCGTTCTTTCACATTTTCAGCAGCACCACCGCTTGTCATATTGTCACATGCCGCGGAGGAATTTGTTGGGGCCGTTGAGGCCATGAAGCATACAACAATTTACTTTATCTTCTTTACGCATCCTAACGTCTACAACTAACTATTAATCAATCAGATGTTGAAGAGATACGGTGTATTCTGTATTGGGATTGATAAAGAGCTACTAATTATGCTAGAAAACTACTCCCTGAAAAGCAATTTTAGCTCTCTGGAGTTGAGAGTTAGGCTTGGACCTCTCTGGAGTTGAGAATTCAGGAAGAGTGTCGAATGAGAAATGGTTGGAAATGGAATTGGTTGATTCACATTCATTTTGTGTGTGGTTTTGCTCGATTTCGGTTTACCCGCTGCCCCAAAATTCGAAGTCTACGCGCCCTCTTTCCCCGAAAATGGCACATGTAAATCCATGTAAGTTTTACCATTCCGCTGGGATGATGAACCACAGCTTTCGTGGTTTCGACACCAGTAAGTGCGGGAGAAAAATGTGTAGCCGTGTTTGTGTAAAAATGGCGCGTTATTTTTTTTTGCACACGTTTGCGGACCGCCTGCTTGAGTGTCTAGATGGATTCTTCACGTGAAATTTATTGGCTGGAATGTGAAATTCGTGGAAGTAATTTATCACACGTGCTAAAGTTCGATCGTGGAAAAGTGGCTACGTGACGTTGTGCCAGTCATAGCCCCGCTGCCTGTCAGGGGCACTTGCTGATGGTAGACACGCCAAAACTTATCGTGGCACGTCTAGTACAACGTGCTCTAGAATTGTGTCGGTGGGCTGCAATGGGACGCTGACGTGTACCTCAGAAACAGCATCGTGTAATTTCATAACGTGCCCTACTGGAACTGACGCATGGCTTCGTGGCATACCTAGCTCTGAATGGTCAAAATTTCGTCAGGCAAGCTCTCTTCGTCCATCATACTGGTTTTGCGCGTCAGTAACAAACACAAGTCAAGTATTTCATGGGCCACTTTGGGTCTTCCGGGCCAAACGCTGGATCTACAGTGCTGCGCGATCAGTATGCGAGGGTGTACAAATGGTGGTGCGTCAATTTGCGACCAGTGTACAAGTGTCGCATCCAAGCATTCACCAGGCGCTAGGCAACTCTGTGCGAATTTGCAGAAGTGCAGATTTGCAGGGGCGGCTAACAATTCCAAACCTAGCGTAAACCCAGCCCTGATAAGTCCTGCCAGGCCTCCCCAAACCTAACCAAGCCAACCGGGTCCCACCCCAGCCTCAATAGGTCCCGTCAGCTCTCCCCAAACCAAACCAATCGAACTCCCCTTGGCCCTCTGAAGCTCAATCTCGTAGTTACGAGAATAGGAGAGTCGAGTCAATCTCGTACATAGATCATTGTCCCGCCGGCGCTACATAGACTGAAACCTGTCGCACCGCAGAGAGAAGGAGAGCACAAGATTAGTCGCATGTACAGGCCTAACCCTAAAAAACGAATATTCGGATTCGTATTTGATTTTCCCGCCCGAGTAATCGTATTCGACGAATATGGCTAACTCGAATACTACCGATTAACCAAACCTAATCAAATTCAAACCGGATTCGATATTCGTCGAATATCGAATAGTAAAACGAATAGTACCCTATTCGTTTACACCCTTACGAGTCCACACTCCACTACACTACACCACAGTGAAGTGTGGTCACAGTTGGCATTGCCACCTGTCCACTCATCCCACACTCACCTTGCTGGCCTCTATGGTGTGCCATATGCTGTCATGTGGGCTGTTGTTCCAGCCTGGCCCACATGTGCAACATGTGGCCTCACTTGCTAGCTTGGCAAGGTTGGCTAGCCTTGCCCTCACCATTGAGGTGCTGCAGCTAGCCTCAAGCGTTCAGCCACATATATGTGGCTTCCCACTTCACTATGATTTATTCTTGACAAGGACCTTGCTCTAGTCTTCAAGACTTGTACCATTTTCTTGCTAAGGATATTTCTTCTTCCTATCGTGCCCTAAGTTCACCGATCCATTTTCTTCACTCCTCTTTCTTTTATTCCAAAGGCGAGTCCAGCAGTACCACTCGCGGGTTCTTAATGCGCCGCCGCATCTTGCTGGGGGCCACCCCGTCCTTGTTGAACATCACACCACGCAGCACCGCACTGTCCTCTATCCGACCACCCAGCACCTTCTCCACCTTGGCGTACTGCTTGATGTCAATGTCCTTGCGCCCCCCACTTCCACCGCCATTGTTGTCACCGCATCTAGTGCCAGTTTCTGTGGGTGAGGGGAAAGGGTGATGGTGAGGAGGGGAGGGATCGAGAGCAGTTAGGTGGTCAGCTGCGGGGCCCCACCTCCACTGTTACCGTTGTCACCGCATTTAGAGCTAGTTCTTGTGGGAGTGGTGGGATGGGGTGAGAGGAGGGCAGAGGGGGACAGAGAGTTAGGAAGGGCAAGGCAAGGTTGCAGGAAGGAAGCAGGTGGCAGGTGGCAGTTTCCCTCCACTGCCACCGTTGTCACCGCGTCCACAGCCAGCTCCTGGGGAAGTGGGGTTGAAGGGGGTGAGGGCAATGATGAGTGGAAAAAAAAGAGAGCGGCGGTGCGTGGGTGGGAAAGGGCAGGGATTGAGCAAGTGAGAATTGGAAATAAAGAAGCACAACTCTTTAAGGAGTCTAGGAAAACAAAAGCACACACTTTGAGTACATATGTTGTATGTACAGCCATGAGGGAGTCGAAGCGGGAGGTGAACTTGGTGCCGATGCAGCTCTGCAGTATGCTTAGCATCTGCTTCTCTGCGAAGGGAGGAGGCACGGTGACACACGGGAAAGCACGGGGAAGCACAGGGGAGGACAGGGACGCACGGAAGGAGTACAAAGGGATGGGGGATGAATGAATGGGATGGGCGGTGAACTTGGTGTCGATGCAGCTCTGCAGTATGCTCAGCATCTGCTTCCCTATAAAGGGAGGAGGCGCAGTGACGCACGGGAAAGAACAGGGAAGCATAGGGGAGGACAGGGACGCACAGATGGGGGGCAAGGGGACGGGGGGGACTCTTAAGTGGTTGGGATCATTCTGGGAATTCAGAGAAGGTTGTGTCCTAGTTAGGTCAGCAAAGCCAACCACACTTGGATGTTAAGTGCTATGCTTAAGGCTACCAATAGTGAGTCAAGTCAACCATGAGCCAGCTTGCCTTCCCACTTGCATTTTGCTCCCAGATCAGCGCGGATATGGTGTTATGCAACCATACGGGAAAGCATTATACAAACCATCTCTTCCTCCTAGAAATCATTTTTTCCCTGACCGAGGGTTTTTTCCCTACTCGACAGCGTATTCAGAGCGTTTTCTGAGGCTGGAAACTCAGCAAATAGCGTTAGTACGTTACTGTATAGTCGGTACACATCTGATACCACATACACGTATTTTCCAACCTAGCTCCCCTCTCCCCTATCCCTCTCCAATTTTCCGTCTCACGTCTCTCCTTCCCTACACCACCTGCCTCCAGACTCTCGTCGGCCCCCGTTTCCCCACTCGTCCCCTCCTAAAAGCACACCCATGCAGCTAGATCGTGCACATGCCTTCGCGCATTTATACAGACACACGTGCATCATCTCGCCCCTCCACCCGTCCCTCCACCACCCCTCCCCCCCTCACCACAACAGCACGCACAGAGCGCCAACACGACCATATGCATTGACGTTGACACGGGCGCCCTCACTGACATGAAGGAACTGGGGGTGAGTGGAGGGGGAGTGGTGGGGAGTGGTGAGTGAGTAGTGGGAAAGAGAGCTGGGGGAGGGAGCGCGGGACAATGATGCGGATTTGGGGTGTGGGACATGCATTCCTTTGCTTCTTTCCACATTGCACATGCTTTCTGAATTGGCAGTCGTCGGATGTGAATAATCAGACTTCCATGCCCTCTTCTATCTCTCTGCCTCCTTGCCTCCCTGCCTCCTAGCCTCCTTGCCCCCCTGCCCCACTGCGCGCCTGCCAGGTGCGGGAGCGGTACGCTGTCAAAGTATATGCATGTTATATATGTGTAGGCTGTAGTAGGGTAGCCAATATGGGGTACAGCCCCATTCAGGGTTTCATACTTGTACCCAATTCTTTCATAGTCGCGTCTGCTGCCCGCGCATCGCGCTGCAGCTCCTCGCGCCGTGGCTGCCGTCCTCGCGCGGCCCGCTGCGGCCTCGCGCGCCGCGCCTGCAGCTCGCGTAGCCCGCTGTAGCCCCGCGTGCCGCGGCTGCCCCTGTTCGTCGCGCCCCCCCCCCCCCCCCCCCCACCCCCCCCTGGACGTCGCCCCGGCCTGTCATGACGCCCCCCCCCCCTGGACGCCGCCCCTGCCTGACTGCCGTCGTCGCTCCTGCAGCAGCTGCCGCGGAGCGCCTTGCCACGGTCGCGGCCCCACCCTGCAGAAGCTGCCGCGGAGCCTCCTGATGCTGTCGCGGCCCCGCCTTGCAGCAGTCCTCTCGGCCCCGCCCTACAGCGGTCACGGCCCCGCCCTACAGCAGCTGTCGGGGACCTCCTCTACTGCCGACGCGGCCCTGCTCTGCCGCAGCTGTCGCGGCCCCGCCGTCGCTGCCGTCGTGCGCCTACCCGGCCGCTGCCCGCCGAGCGCCGGCCCTGCTCGCCCGGCGAGCGCCTGCCCTTCTCGCCACTGGTAAGCACCTACCTTGTTCGCGCGCTGCCGCGCCATCTGCCTGTCTGTCTGCCTGCTTGCCTGCCTGCCTGCCTGCCGCACCTGCCCGTGCTGCTGCTACTGCTACTGCTGGTACTCCTGTTACTGCTGCTAGGCTGCTGCTGCTGCTACTGCTGCTACTTCTGCTCCTGCTGCTACTGGAGGTGGCCAGATGCAGCTCCAGCGACGTCCACACGAGTCTCTCACGCCCCAGCAGCTTCGTGAGTGGTACGATAGTTGGGGTTATCGCGGTAGCCGTCGTAGCTGTCGCCCTGGAGCTGGTCAGTTGGGAGCGTCTGGCAGTGGCTAGCTGCAGCTGCAGCAGCGTCCACGCGAGACGCTTACGTCCCAGCAACTTCAAGAGTGGTACGCTCAGAGTAGAGGGTCTCGGAGTACCGTTCGCTGCCCGTACGTCATTCGCACAGGTGATCAGGCTGGTCAGGCTTGCGGGACACTTGGTCACACACAGTCCCGCTGCTTCGCCCGTCTGAGCGACGCCTGGCGTACCGAGTTTGGCGACGAGGCTGAGCTCCCCACCTGGCTAGAGTTGCTTAGGCAGAGGGTAGATATCTTTGCTCTTCACTATGATGCTATTCTCACTGCCATATATGCATTGCCTACTAGTGTTGACGGTGCATGTTACCTGTGCGTACCGCCTGACCCAGGTATAGAGCCTGCTGCTCTAGGTACTGGTGAGGCTGCTGCTCTAGGTGCTAGTGCATCTCCTGCTCTAGGTGCTGGTGAGGCTACTGCTCCAGGTACTGGTGAGTCTGCTCTCTCTGGTACTGCGCCTACTGAGGCCATGTACACCTTCACACTTGACTCAGGTGCTTCCCGCTCCTTCTTTCGCGACAGCACCACCTTCACGCCGCTCAGTCGGCCGATTGCAGTCTCTATTGCAGACCCCTCTGGGGGTCCAGTCCTTGCGCACTCCTCCACGGTCTTGCCGTCTCCGGCGGTCCCGTCTGGCTCCCTGTCTGGTCTTCACCTCCCCTCGTTCTCTACGAACTTGGTGAGTGGTGCTGACCTCCAGGACCAGTGGGTTGACCAGTTCACCCCTGGAGGTCAGCGCGTGACCCACTGTACGTGCTCCCGGATGGGCCGGCACCTAGCTACGTTTACCCATGCGCCTGGCTCGAGTCTGTACACACTGACTACTGTGTCCCCTCAGGTCGCTGCGTCCGCGTCTGCGTCAGATCAGCTAGCGGCCCCCTGCTTGTGTCGCCCTTTGTCGCACCAGACCCTCCTTTGGCACCACCGTCTTGGTCACCCCTCGGTGCAGCGCCTTCGTAGCATGCACCGCCGTGTCCTTGTCTCTGGTCTTCCCAGGGTTCTCCCTCCCCTCCCTCCCTCGCCTGCTCCTCCCTGTCTTCCCTGCGTCGAGGGGCGGCAGCGCGCCGCTCCTCACTTCTCCTCGTTTCCCCCGACGACTGCTCCCCTGCAGACCCTGCACATGGACGTGTTGGGCCCAGCCCGCGTCAGTGGGCAGGACCGCGAGCGGTACTTCCTGCTGGTTGTTGACGACTACTCGCGTTACACCACGGTCTTCCCCTTGCGCACCAAGGGTGAGGTCCCTAGTGTTTTGATCCCTTGGATCCGCGCTGCCCGTCTCCAGCTCCGCGAGCGGTTCGGGACGGAGTTTCCTGTCCTGCGTCTGCACTCTGACAGAGGTGGGGAGTTTCCCTCCGACCTCTTGCAGAGCTTTTGTCGTGGAGAGGGCATTTGCCAGACGTTCACGCTTCCGGCCTCTCCGCAGCAGAATGGGGTTGCTGAGCGCCGCATTGGCTTAGTCATGGAGGTCGCTCGTACCTCCATGGTCCATGCGCCGCATTTTCTGTGGCCGTTTGCGGTCCGCTACGCCGCGCATCAGCTCAACCTCTGGCCCCGTGTCTCCTTACCGGAGACCTCACCCACACTGTGGTGGACGGGGGAGGTTGGCGACGCGTCGGTGTTTCGGGTCTGGGGTTCTCGTGCCTTTGTCCGCGATACCACCGCGGACAAGCTCTCCGTCCGTGCTGTTCCCTATGTCTTCCTTGGTTTTGTCCATGACGCGCCTGGTTGGCAGTTTTACCACCCCACCTCGCGCCGTGTCTTCCCCTCTTAGGACGTCACGTTCGATGAGTCGGTTCCCTTTTACCGTCTCTTCCCCTACCGCACTGCCCCTCTCCCCCCCCCCGCCGCTCTTCCTTGCACCAGGTGCTCCCCAGGTAGCCCCCCTCCCCGCTCCCGGTCCTGCTCCTTCAGGTGTGTCTCAGGTAGACCCTCCTCCATTGACTGCGCCGGTTGAGGTCACTGGTGACTCAGGTCCTGCTGGGGGTGGTCCTGCTCGGGGTGTTGCTTCTGGGGGTGCTGAGCCTGGGGGTGCGGAGCCTGGGGGTGCTGGTCTTGGGGGTGCGGAGCCTGGAGGTGCTGAGCCTGGGCGTGAGGAGTCTTGGGGTGCTGCACCTGGGGGCGCTGCAGCGTCTGGTGAGCAGTCTCCCTGGAGACTACGGAGACGGCAACTTGAGTGTCTTGCAGCCGCTGCGCCTCATCTCGTGTCCATGCTGCTTGCCCCTGAGGGAGACCCGGATGCTCCAGACATCCCGACCCCGCGCTCTTTCGCTGAGGCGATCGTGGGCGAGTACTCCTCTCAGTGGCAGACAGCGATGGATGCAGAGATGGCATCCTGGAAGTCCACATGCACTTACGTTGACGAGGTTCCCCCTCCTGGGGCGAACATCGTCAGTGGCATGTGGATTTTCAGGGTGAAGCGGCCGCCGGGTTCTCCGCCTGTCTTCAAGGCTCGTTACGTTGCTCGAGGTTTCAGTCAGCGAGAGAGAGTTGAATTCTTCTAGACCTTCTCTCCCACCCCGAACATGAACACTCTTCGGGTGCTGCTGCACTTTGCCGCTCAGCATGACTACAAGATTCACTCTCTTGACTTCAGCACAGCTTTCTTACAGGGCAGCCTGCACGAGGAGATCTGGCTGCGCCGCCCTCCTGGCTTCACTGGGTCGTTCCCTCCTGGCACCCAGTGGAGCCTCCGGCGGCCGGTCTACGCTCTCCGCCAGGCGCCACGTGAGTGGCACGACACACTGAGGACGACACTTGCTGCTCTTGGGTTTGCTCCATCGACTGCTGACCCGTCGTTGTTTCTGCGCACCGACACTTCCCTGCCGCCGTTCTACATCCTCGTGTACGTCGACGACTTGGTCTTTGCCACTGCTGACACTGAGGCTCTCGATCTGGTGAAGTCGGAGCTGCAGAAGAGACACACGTGCACAGACCTGGGTGAACTGCGCAGCTACCTTGGCTTGCAGATCACCCGGGACAGAGCACGCCGCACCAT